GGGGAGGGGTCGGGGACCGGACAGGGGGGGGGTGGGGGTGGCGGCGGGGGTCCTCAGGGAACCGCCCACCTGGGTCAGAGTGGACACCAGGGGACCAAAGTTGCTAAAATCCACTGGAGCGCTAAGTGGTCGTCGCAGAGAGACGGAATCCTTTCATGGGCCTGCTCTAAGCTCCGCCCTGACATGGGCCTGCGTCGCTCATCTCCGGCACACTGCTCTGTCTGACAGAGGTGAGCTGGCACGGATCACAACAGTATGACATGTCACAAACATAGGGGAACCCACATCTGCTGACGCCTTGCAACTCTTGTTTCCAATTTCTACGCTCTGCCTTAATTTCTACGCTCTGCCTTAATTTCTACACTCTGCCGCAGCTCCAGCCCCGGATGGGATGCGATGTCCTGGGAGGTTCCCTCACGGCACTGAACCTGCTCTGATCGAGAGCCGCCGGTTAATGCATCAGCGATTGCGCCGTCCCAACACCATTCAAACTCCTTTTAATCAAATGATCTGACGCATGGTGTTTAAAAATGATTTCCATAAAGCCCCCCCCCCCCCCCGGGGGATTGCAAATAATAAACAGTTATTAGTAAACGCATTATGGCTTTGGTAAACGCATTACAGCGTGCTGCCCTTTCGCTCCTCGCTGCAGCCACAAAATGGGTAACTGAACGAGCTTTTAGCGATGGACAGGAAAGCACTGGACGAGGGGGGGCAGATGGAACATGTATACTGGGGGGGGTGTTATTGGGTGTGTGTGTTTGTGGAGGTGGGGAGCTGTTTGTGTTCCTGAGCACCCTGACTGGCCCCCTCAGTATCAGACCCGTATTTCGCTAAATGCGACAGCCCCGCTTTCACTGGAAATTGCGTTTTAAATGCGCCGCTGCGGGGGTGGAGGGGATTAACGGTGCTGCAGCACCCCGCCTGTCACACGTTCACACCCACCCCCTCCTCAGTCCGACCCAGTGAGATCCGCTGTCCTGTCCGCGTCTCTCTGTGTCACCCGGTGGTGGGGGGGGGGTCAGACTTCAGCGGGGGCCCACACAGCAGTGTCATGTGTTCACCTTTCAGGAATCTGACAGTTCGATGGCTGCCACTCTGACCTACCCCTTCAGCCCCCCCCCCCCCGTCAGGAATCCAAGCAGCGCTCGACACAGTCGGCAGTTACGGCGCCCCGCCCATGTAAGATGGATGGAATGCCGCCTTCAAAAGCAAAAGCACCTTAGGGAGGACAGGACCTCCCTCTGCTCTTGGTTCCAATCATACTCTGTTATGGGCCTCTGAGAGTATGATACAGAACGAGGTAAACTCCATGATATTTTCTATAACCATTAAATCAATCCATCCATCTGTCCATCCATCCATCCATCCATCCATCCATTCAAAGCAAGTCCAATGCAGGACTCAATACCAATCATTCAGTGGGTTGGTCCACTGCCTGTGATCAGATGGCTGTTGGTTTGAATCCCCTGGGCCCCTGAGAAAGGCATTTAAATTGCTCCAAGGATGCTGGACGCTGGCTGACCCTGTGCTGTGACCCCCTCTCACCTGTCTGTGTGTCTCATGGAGAGCAAGATGGGACAGGAGACAAGAGAATGTACCCACAGGGATGCATAAAGTGCCACTATTATAATCTATTCTATAAGGAATATTGTGTCTGAATATCATACAGCCGCTATTAGAAATGGGGCTTCGATGCAAATGATCTAAGGGGGAATCACAGGCATTTTTGTGAATATGTGTATGTGTTTACAGTATGTGACATGGCCCCCCTGCCATGAAATAGGCCAGATGGGGGCATGTCGGGGTACAGCGAGGGGGGGGCGGGGCGCCACAGAGCAGAATTCCGGCCCAGGATCTGGATGGATACAGAGCGCAGCATGGGGTGAGATGCCCGCGGGGAAGGGGGGGTCAGACAGCGTGAGGCTCACTCAGAGCTGCCCCCCCTCCCCGCATTCAGCTGAGGAACAGTCGCAGGCCAAACCATCGCTAGGTAACCATTGAGACGTAAGACTGTTTTAATCTTAAAACGGGTCTGGCTACATACAGGTGGGGGTTGTTAAATAAGAGGCACAGCACCACAACCTCAGAGCAGTCTTGCTCTTCTGGGAGGGGGGGCTCTTTTGAAAAACAGGGGAGCCTTTATGAGTTTTGCATCCTCGGTCTGGGTCCTTTGATGGCGCGGCTGGATCCGCATAAAGAAAGTGCCTCAGCACAGCCTAAAGATGCTGGTCCGAGACAAAGGCCCGGTAACCGTCTGCACTTATTTCCATATCCCCCCCCCACTTAGGGTGAGTGGGACGCGAGATGGGGGGGCCCACCTGAATGAGACACTCCTGCCATACTCCAGTCAAAGGGTTTTGTTCTCTCCAAAGACGACACTGCAAGCTTTGGTCGGGGACGGGGGACGGGGGGTCACTGGTACATATCTGAGCCGCTTTTTTAGAAATGGAGGAAGAGGAACCATCCATCTTGCCCCCAGTCTTCCTGAGCGTCGAGCGGCGAAACATGGTGCAGGTTTTAGCGATTTGTTTAAGTGGCGGGCAGCTTTACTCCTGGCCGGTGGAGCCGCTGAGCCGCTGATGCATCATGCGACGCCGCTTAATTGAGGCCGTGGAGACGCGGCCGCGGATCCACCCTGACTGCTGCAGCTGTTCCCCGCCCGGCCCGCCTGACTTATTATTCCCTGCGCTTGCTTATTTAAGCATCTGCTGCCCTGATCCCTGCTCTCATACCCAGTTTATCTACCTTAACCCAGGCCTGGTTTCTTTCTCTCTCCATGGCCCCAGCCCCCCCATCCCAGTGCCCCCCCCCCCGCTATCGCCTCCTGTGGCGGCTCTGTGCGCTTACAAACAGTGGCCATTGAGCTTGTGGTGTCCCCTCCTCCGGGCTCCTCCACGCTTCTCCGTGCTCCTCTGCGCCTTTGTGCCCTGTTCACAGTCTCCTTATCCTTGCTGTTCATCACGGGCCTGATTTTATCTCTCTCTACTGCAGCTGGGTACTGGAGAGAGAGAGAGAGAGAGAGAGAGAGAAGGAGACAGAGAGGGAGGTATGGTCAGTTCCCATGCGAAGGGATAATTTGTACTTTCTCGAATAAAAAAGGACGACAGGCTAATTACTGGCTTAACAAGGGCAGCCTGCGGATGCTGATGTCAAAAGGACAGACATAATTATTAACCATTGGAGTGCATTCATATCGCAGCACATAGAGGTGGGCACGGGGGGGGCAAAGGTTGGGGAGGGTGTGGGGCAAATGGATCAGGCTGAAGATGGGGTGGGGGCCAGCATTATGTGTGTTTCCTTGAAGTCGGGGGCATTAAGACGCTCTGACAGGCACAGGCTGGGAAGAAAGGAAATGGGGGAGGGGGGCAGAAGAGGGTAATTAAATGCCTCCCCCCCCCTGCTTTGTATGTGTGTGGGACCGGCATGCTGCTAATATTGAGCGGACCCCTGTAATAACCAGCCTATTAGTGACAATCCACTGTATGTGCTTATGAGTGAGGGGGGGTGGGTCACCGAGGGTCACTAAGGCTGGGTCCTGAGTGCCATTGAGGAGGCCTGAAAAAGCTTCCCCGAGGACACCTGGTCAGCAACCCCCCCCCGCCCACCCCCCGCCCAACTGAAATCCTGAAAACATCATTATGTCCTTTGCTGACTTGTGAAAATAATTATGGCAAATGTCTGTGTTTGGTAAGAGATAGAAAGGAAAGAGGGGGTGACACGGCAGGGGGGGGGGGGGGGGGGGGGGGGGGGGGGGGGGGGTGTGGGCTCTGACACCCCTGGGTAGGCTGGCAGGGGAGGACGGGCAAGGGAGGGGGGGGGCAAGCCCACATCCGGCGCAGGATGGAACCCGAAACCACAGGTATGGTTTCATAGGAAAAGGGCGGAACAGGAGAACCGGCTGGGCCACAAGAACCACCACCCCTCCCCCCCCCACGCTCAAACCATGTCCGCCCCCGGCTGCTGTCTGACATGGTGCTGTCACTGCGCCGACCGATGCGCTTATGCACATAGATGCAGAGGGTGTCCATGCAGACATGGCCGCATGTGCAGGCGTGTGGGACTGACCTGGGCACCCGGCATGCGCCTCAGATCGCACGCAGCGGGGCCGCCAAGGCGACGGACCGCCAACGAAAGACCCGGGACGCAGCGGATGCCGGCTGATGCATTAATCACTGCGGACAGTTTGGTGCAGGCCGCAAGTAAATAGGTGGGAAACATGAAGTCTGGATATATCAGCTTTAACTAGCTTGGTAACTTATTTGGACGACAGCACTGATGCAAGATATACGTTCTGTGCAGTGAAAGTGCAGAAGGATCATAGATAGACAAAATCATTTTTCACTCTTTCCCTCAAAAGGTTATTTCTGGGACACGTTTATCCTTCCCATCACGGTTTATGTCATTTCTATTGGTCACAGCCCATACTGATGGGGGGGGGGGGGGGGGGGGGGGATGGAACAGCCAGCTCTGAGATGATCCACAGGTTTGGAGAGGATCGCAAGGCACAGTGTCTGAGAGTTAGTGGCACAGACACCAGTCGGACCCATCAGGCCATCGGACTACAAGTAGCAGCGTCTGAAACAGGATATAGGAAAATGACAGCGCTGACTGGATAACAGGTACGTGACAAGTGGAAAAATCATGTTCCAGTAGAGCGAAAGTAGCGTGCTAATCCACCCAGCCCAGTTTGGTCCCATTAAGTGCTGGAGAACTTTAAGGGCGGAGCTCACCCCAGAGTACCTTTCCCGGTTCAGTAATACCTCCAATTAACACGTCAGATTGTTTTTTATAACGCGCATAAACATAGCGAATGACGGTGGATCGCGACCCAGGCTGATGGCTCGTAATGCGACGGCAGGTTCAGGGGGCGCCACGGGACGACTGCGGATAAGCGATATTATCGTCGAAATGGCTAATTACGTGGGCTTCACTTTGGAGCCGGCGGGGAAAACAGAGCAGCAGACGTAATGGCGCTTGTGCCAGCGAAATCCAAACGGGAACCTTTGTTGACTAAAACCACGATTCCCTCCCTCAGACACCGACACTCTGACCCCCCCCCACCCAGCCACAGGTGCCGATTGAGAGACATGTATCTAATCGGCTTTAATGCATTATGTAAATTATTAATTTTTTTTTGTTTGTTTGTTTAATATGCTATAACCCATACACCCCCCCCCCCAATTTTTTTAAGGTAAACTACTGAGGTTGCCTTCGGTGACTGCGCACGGTCAGCATGCAAATGGAGAGCAGGAATGAGGAGAGCTGTTTGCTTTTTTTTTGTTTTTTGAAGGGATCAGTTGCATTAGAGTCACATGTGAAGCACCTATTAGTGACAAACGTACCGGCCTTTCGGGGGGAAAATGGCCCGCTGCTACTTTTTAAGTACGAAATGCTAATTTTTAGTGACTTTTTAAATCGGAGAACTAGAGGACTCCATTTGAAATGAGAACACATTAAATCTTCTCACAGGAAACCGGAGGGGTTTGGGGCGGGGCGGGGGGGGGGGGGGGGGGGGGGGGGGGGGGGGGGTGCACGTGAGCCCGGTAGCCGACTGTCATCAGGAATGAGCTGCAGCAACGCGGTGGGCTGTCACCGCTCCTGAGAGCCACCTGGCAACCACCCCCCTGGCACGGCAACAGCCCCCCCCCAGCGCTTGGACGATTGTTCCCTGGGCAGGATGGGGACTAACGGCTCCTCCAGTGGACATGACCGCCATGCAGCTTAGGGTGAGGAATGGGAACGGCGAGTCTCTTCCGGAGCCACGGAAAAGGTGCGTAGAGACTAAAGCAGGCCTTAGGCCCCATATCCCTGTCCTGCGAAAACCGCATTTTCAGTAGCTTCAGAGTGTGGGGCCCAGGTGACATCATAGAGTGACGCCGGCGTGTCATGGCGCCGCCGTCCAATTAGCACGGGGGCGGTCAGTCAGGGATATGGGGGGGGGGGGGGCAGTGCCGGGGGCACTCTCCTGCTTTTGTCGCTGTTGTCGTTATTCGCAGAGTTTTTTTTTGCCTGCTGGTTTTGCCCCCATTTCTCATCGCATGACCACATCTCCATTACGCTCCAGCTGGGAAACTCGATTTCTATTCCTTCCCATTTTAGTGAGAAAAGCATTAACTAAAAGTCCTTTAGGGGACAGAAAGTAACCAAAAATATATAATTGTTTTTACTAACTTAGTTACTTATTTGGTCAGCACCACTGATGTGACATCTAACAGGTTTAAATGTACTCTAAAAGTACAGAAGGGTCACAAATCATTTATCTGGGCTGGGTCAGCCAGCCCTGAGCTGATCCACAGGTAGAGGGAGGATCGAAAGCCACAGCGTCTGCATATATATTAATATGACATTAATATGGACAACACATATCCCACAGTCTACAGCATTACTGTATATAGAAAAATAAACATCTAAACTTTCAAGAAAGGTTTCTTATATAAGGAAGCTAACATAATAATTGCTACTGGGGCATCGCTGTTGCCGCTGTTATTGCCGCAGGTCACATGACCACATTTTCTTCACACTCTAGCTTTTGGGAAGCCTGATTTTAATATACAGACACCAGCGCATTAATTGGTAAGAATGTGTGAGTGACTGTATTGCTGTGGCTATCATATCATGTCATATGAGCACACTCCCCTCCACCTCGATTCTCAAGAACCCCCCCCCACACATTTCATTGTCAGTGGCTGGCTGTTGGGAGGGGGGGGGCAGCTAACCTCCAAACCAGGGATTTATCATATATGGGTATGGGGGGGGGAGTACGCTGGGGTCCCCTGCTGGCATCTCAGAACGGCCCCTTCAATCAAACGCGACCCCGGAGCCACTCGGCCCCCCAGCGGCGGTCCAGTTCGCCCGGATGAAGGGGGGGGGAGGTCTCTCATTTTCTCTGACACTCTTGTCCTTCAGCCCATTGATCGGAGGGGGGAGGCTCATCTCTAGCTGGCCCAGGTTAACCGCCACCGGGGGCTGAACCGCGCAACGCGCAGACAGATCTAGAAAGGCCTCCCAACTAACCTTTTCATGTTTTTTTTTTCAAACTTCTAGTGCTGCTGTTTCCTTCCTCCGCTCTCTTCACTCTGAGTGGATCTTTGCCCTGGTAATTTCCACATGGCGGGAGGCAGTGAAAGAGTTAAGATGCCAATCCTGACCAAAGGCGTCGGTGACCCGCTCTCTGTCACCATATATACTCACTTTTACTGCACTATTCCCTCATGAGAATCGTGGGCAAAACCCCCATCATATCTGGCGCATTCGGACTTTAAAAGCACGACGGCTGGTCAAACCAAGACCATTATCCCATTCCCGAATGTGACCTCCACCCCTTCTAAATCTGTCCTTCATTGGTAAAATGAGGGCCACAATTTCAGTAAGAAGGCCAAAAAGCCATCTTAAACGATCATTGATGGGCCTTTATGCGGTGTGACACAGAAATACGTGTGGTGATGTCTTATTGGTGAATGTGTCAGGCCTAGACGAGAAGCTGGCTACCAGAATCACCAGGGTGCAACAGAAAGACTTTGAGCATGTGCACCTTACAGTCAAACTGTGAAGGCATGGAGAAGGGGCGAGGTGCATGGGAAATTAAACCAATCAGATTTAAAGACGAAGTCCGAGAGACATCCTTGCGATGTACACAGCTGTTGGTGAATTAGTATCGTAACAGATCCTGGCTGAAATGACCGGAGTTAACAACCCCTCGATTTAGACCAGGTCCGTCCGTAAGGATGGTGTTGGACAAAACCGTAACGTATAGCTCATTTTCAGCGTGGGCTAACATGGCTGTACAACAGGGGGTGCCACATCACTCTGAGGGAGTGATAGTCCTTATGGACAAAGATTTTGCACCCCTCTGTTGACAGGCCCCATGAGGACCCAGGCTGGGGGGGGGGCTGTCTGAGGTAAACATTGCTCACTGAAACTCAAAAGGAGCGGTACGGTATCGATTCCATCGGCAGAATGTGATGAACGGGATCAAACAGACAGCTGCAGGCTCCGGGC